TTTTTTTTACAATATAGGATGTAATGGGAATTGTGACATCCATAATGTTGGAAAACTGTTGGATAGCTGCTTTTTGCATTTTTCACACACACTGATAAATACCAATTTTCTCTCCTGTAGAAGCTTTAAAATGCCAGTGTTGGGGCTGGTATTGCACTCCACTTGTATTTTCTTCTTCTTTTCCCTCCTACCTACTTCTAAAGAGTAAAAATAGAATAATAAAAAATGATGAAATTGTGATGTTAAATTTCCTCATAGATTGTTATAACTACAAGTATGCAGTGACAATAGCAAACCAAGTTAAGGGAATTGGGAAAATGGTTCTTTGAATCATTTAACTTGAGATTTTCCTATTTATAGTGAAGTTAAGAAGTGGAAATAAGTGAGTTGTTTGAAAGAGCTGCTCAGCTGTCAATGCCACATTCATTTGCATAAATTTGACAATTCTCTTTTCATTAATGAGATATTTGACTGACAACATGATTAAGTTACATGTGGCTCTGATGCCCCAAATCTAGTGAAACAGTCTTGATTTCTAACAGATAAATGTTCTAATTTGACACCAAATGAGGCCACCTTAGAGAAGGCAACTCCTGCCGTCTAACTTAACCAGAATGTTGCCATTTCTTTTATTTTTTCCAAAGATGACTATAGTCACTTCACTAAAATTGTCTGACACTGTGGGCTTTGGAAGTAACAATTGCGTATCTTTTCATACTAGGAAATGTGCAGCAAAATGAAACTATCTCTTCAAATATATTTATGAATCCAAATATCTTAATTTTCTTTGGTCATCTCTAAAGTAGCACACACCTTTCATATTCAAAATTTGCACAATTCCACTTAAAATGCTTTGTAAAACCCACTATGGTTTAGAAATTATTGATTATCCACTATACTTTAGAAAGCATACCAGCTCCACAGAGATCTAAAACATTGGTGAATCATAACACAAGAAATTCTCTGTAATCATGACATGAATAGATGGTATAACATATTAATAAAAAAGTTCACTGTTATACTTGTGGGGCAGGGGAGATACCATGACCAGGAAGTAGTTTCACAGGGTGAGGCTTATCCATTGCACTCTGATGTGCTGACCCCGGTGATTTCTCCAAATATGGGAAACTCAGCTGCATAATTTGCAGTAGTGGGGGGCTGTGTTAGCTCTTTCACCTGTAAAAAAAGGGGAAAAAAAGGGCACTCTAATGGGTAAAAATTGAAACAAATACCATGGGAACAAAAATATGGAAATATTTCTTGATTGGATTATATTAGAATAGCTCATGATTAAAGTGGCATTAGACTTGAATTCTGAGAAGTTGGAATTCTGCAATAACATCAGGGAAGAGAAAGTACAAACTTAAGTGATTAACTGAATGGCACAAACAATCCAGAAGTCTGCGAGGACAATATTTATTTAGGAGGTTAGTTTGTAACCTGATAAACTTGTGTTAAAATATAAAATACTAGATATACATAGATAAGTAGAATAAATAAATACCACCTTCCATGAGTGCATGCATGTTTGTATAATTGTGAAAAATAAACACAAAACTACTTTATTTACATGAGTATTGAGTTAAAACTATAAGAAATTAAACTATAGGAATAATTGGAGTATCTGGAGATATACTAAATACTCTAAATTTCTACTGTGAACATAATTTATTTATGTTACAATTTTTTTAAAAAAATAAGCATATCCTTCACTCATTTCTTTCATCATTTATGTGTTGCTTAAATCTTTAACTTTGGGTATAATTTTACTCTATGAAAATCACAAAGTAAAGCACCATAGCTACAAATTTTAATAGGCAAATGCTTGCTTAAACATGAGTTTTAGCCTATTAGTGAAACTGTAAGGATGAATTGAGGAAAAAGAAACAAAATGCTTACAGATAGAAATGGGATATATGGAAAGTCTTTTCAAATACTCTAAAAATGAAAGTAATTCTAAATGTGAAAACCCAAGTCCACTAATAAATGCGGAGGCATGTGAAGTCTTCAGTAACATCAAAATCGACAGGCTTTTGACCTGCTTTTAGCATGGGTGCTTAAGAAGAATTGTTTTCTTTCAGCATGACACAGCAGCCAGTATTGCCATAGAAATTTACAAGCTGAACCTGGCGAAGGGCAGAAAAAACAGAAATGAACAACTGGAGCACCTGAGCTTAAATATCACCACCTCGGTGATACGTATTCAAGAATGCTGACCCTCAGGCAGACCAGGATATTGACACAGTCTTGTAAAATCATCAAAGAACGTGAATGGCAGTTTCCAGTTTTGTAAAATTAGGTTGGCTAGTAATTGAGTTATTATAAGGCACAAGATTTTAGTTGCAATTAAAAAAACAAAAGGATATAAAAGGAATTTTTAAAAATAAATATCAGGCCAGCCAAATAGCTCAGCGGATTAAAGCGGCTACAAGCAGGCACAGGGGTCAGGGGTTTGGTTCCCGGGCCTGCAGTGCCTGCCCCAACCCCGGGTGGGCTGAGAGGGCAATTGAGACTGGGCATGGTGGCCCGTGCTTGTGATCCCAGCTCTTGGGAGCCTGTAAACAGGCAGATCAGTACGAGTCCAATCTAGTAGTGAGAACTTGAACATGCTGTAGATCCTTCCCCAAAAATACAAAAATAAATAAATAATAAATGCCACCAAATTATAAATTCATGCTTAAGAAAAACTTTAATGGGGCCAGGGAGATAGCTCAGTAAAATAAGCTCTTACCTGTCAAGCGCAAGGTTCTGAGTTCAATCCCCAGTACCCAAAAAAGAGAAAACCCTTAATGATTTGTTTTTAGAATAAAGAGTAAAGATTTTTATTAGTAAATAAATAATATATTATATCATACTTAAGGAAATTAACAAATCAATTTTTTCCTTGTTGATCATAAAATTTATGATTCTATTTCCCATAAAGTTGACACTTATTTATGTATATTAAAGATGTGTTTTTCAATATACATTATTTACTACAATTTTTCCTGCAAATCATATAATCTGAAAGTGTTATTTATATCTTAAGGCATCTGAGATATTAACTTATCTTTCTCCCTTAACTGCACAGGATTTGTAAAGACATGTTTCTTTCATATTTATTTATCTTGAAAATAAATTGTTAAGGTATTTCCATTATTTCTTGTTTGTGATTCAAATATTTGCCTAATAAGTAAGTCTGTAGTTTTACTAATATGTCTTTTTACAAATCATAATCTCAAGGAAGCAAAATATCTTGTAAAAACTCTTCAGAAATATATGCCATTTCCAAGAAAAATGATATTCATATTTGTGTAGGCTACATGCTGTGGTAGTAAAAATAATTCTAAATACAGTTAGTCTAAAATAATACTAATATTTTAATAGCACTTAAACAATGCTTCCAAATACACTATCATAATGTTCACAACTTTTAAAAAGAGATTTATTAACCTTTTCCCTCATTAAAGAAATGTTTTGCACCAATTTTTATGTTTTGATGTCTAGCTCCTGTTTGTCTTTTGTACTCTACTGTTGCAAGTGATTCGCTGGGTTAAGTTAAAAATTGAGGTGAGTTTTGATTGACATATTTTGTAATAATATTGTATAGTATAGCATATTTTTATGATACATATGCTAATTTGGTAAAAGGTAAAAGATTTATACGATCTGAAGAGAAACCAGAGTTGATACATATATTAATTTGGGAGAACTAACTTTGTATTATTAATTCCTCATATTCAGAAACACAGCAAGTTACTCCAACTATTAACTTCTAGTTTCATAATCTTCAATTAATTTTAGACTTTTAAAAGGAAATGCTTCATGGTTACTTTAGAATTATGAGGGATGTGGGCTTGGGGAATTGAACATAGAGATTTAAACATGCTAGGCAAGTGAGGCTAGATTTATCTTAAATAATTGGTTGTTGCTGAAATATAGGCAAGTTCCAGCCTCTGAAACACAAGTCCATTACCCAAGAAAGGCTCTTGAGCTGAAGGAAAAGGAGCAGCATGGGAAGGGCTGACTGTCGTAGCAGTGTTTGCTGTAGAACAGCATCAGAGCATAGGGATACCCGCTCTTGGCCAGGCACCCACTGCAGACTCCAGGTACTAGGCATAAGGTTTCAGATTTGTGGCTACCCTTATAAAACTGATTGTGAGTTTGGAAGGACTTTGTCAGAAATTGCTTTGTCTGTAGCAATCCAACGTCACTATTTCATATTTTACATTACTTTTATAAATGGATTATCAAATGTGAAGCAGTGGTGGGGGCCCACTATGTATCTTCAGCCTATCATATGGAACTGGGACCGTAATTTCATTCTTATATTTAAACCATTATTGCTTTGGAAATATAGTTTCATGAAAATGGTGAATATAGTTGAAAAGGTATCATCATTCTCAGAGGATCTTAGTGCTAACCCTGCACCTATGTTAAAATTTTGAAATAGATATTTATACTCATTGATGGTATTTCTCCCCTTCCTTGACCTGCATTATCTAGTGTTAAACCTATGACTGAGTCCTACATATAATAATTTATTAAAGGAATCAGTGACCTCTAGTCAGTGTGGTACTGCTTCATGTTATTTTCTTTTTAAAAATTAATTTATTCTTCTTTTACAATAAGATTTTATTAGCATATTTTAGAGATGCACAATGATCACATTCATTATAGATAATTTGTACCCATATATCATATACTTGTTTTGTCCCAATTCCCTTACACACCCTTCAGCCTCTCTTCTCCTCCCCATTTACAAAAGCTTTGTTTTCATTTTTTTCCTTCACTTCTCATTTATTTACTTTTCCCATTTCCACTTCTATACACAAGTACCTTTACAATAGTCCTTTATTGAGTTTATAAATTATTTTTCTAAATAGTACAAGAACTTATTTAATATGTTATTTTGAAAATAAAGCAATTATAAAAACAATTTATCAATTTATATCATTTAATATGCTATATAAAATTTCTCAAATTGAAACGAGTATAAACATTCCATTTTGATGAACTGACAGACATCAATTGTATAACTGACTTGCATTTTTTTCCTTTTCCCTACTGTCCTTTCCCCTTTCACCCATCCTAGTTCCTTTTTCACTGATGAACAATTCCTTCCCATTTCACAATATTTATTGCACATTTTAGACATTATTTACGCTTTCATTTTCTCATGCCAGGGAGACAACATGATATTCACAAGTGTGAATCTGTATCATTTCGCTTATGAGTATGGTCTCAAGATGCAACCATTTACCTATCCGCTCCTCAGTTAATGGACACTTGATTTGTTTCTAAGATTTAGCTACTACAAATTGTGCTGCTGTAAACATAGGTGCACATATATTTCTGAATTGTGATATTTTTAATACTTCTAGAAACATACCCAGAAGGAGAATAGCTGGGTTCAATAGAACCTATAATCCTAGACTTTTCAAGATTCGCCGCAGTCATTTCCACAGTAGTTGTACCAGCCTACACTCCCACCAACAGTGGAGAGGTCTTCCTTTTTTCCCCAGAGCCCCTCCAGCATTTGTTATTGGCGGATTTCTTGATGATGGCCATTCTTTCTGAACTGGCATGGCATTTGTATTTCTTTCTGAAAAGTGTGTATTCACATAAAATTGTCACGTTTTAATTGGATCTTTGAATTCAAAGGGGATCTGATTTTATTTGTCAATTATTTATGTTTCAGGTAGAAGTCCTTTTTGGAGTGTCAATTCACAAAAATCTTTCCCATGCTAGAGTTGTCTTTTCACTCTGGTCATTATTTCTTTTGCTGTGCAAAATCTTTCTCATAAGATGAGGCCACAGTTGTTCATTCTTTGAAATATTTCCTGTATGGTCTGGATTATGTTCATGAAGTCTCTGCCTATACCTGTGTCTTCAGGATTTCTACCTACTATTTTTCCAGGACATTTAGGGTTTCTGTTCTGATATTTGGATGTTTGATCCATCTTAATTGTAGTTTGATGCATGCTATTAGACACGGGTCTAATTTTAGTCTTTGGCATATAGAAAGCCAGTTTTTCCAGAATCGCTTAAGTAAAAGGCTATCTTTCATCCAGTGTGTTTGCAGTTGTGTCTCTATCTTCTAATCTGTTCCACTAGTTCTCAAGTCTGATTTCTCGCCATTACCATGCTGTTTTTATCACACTGCCTTTGTAATAAAATTTCAAGTCAGAGATTGTGAC